CCCCGATCCAGGAGATCTGCAGAGCAGTCACCTGGTCTTCAGTGCACACCTTCACGTCCGACTACACGGTCAACCAGCAGGCCAGAGAGGACGCAGCGGTTGGCAGAGCAGTCCTCTGAGCAGTTCTTCCGTGACTCCTACCCTCCTCCAGAGGTAAGCTTGTAATTCACCTAATGTGGAATGGACGTGAACAAGCACTCAAAGAAGAAAAAACAGTTACTTACTTTCTCATAACTGTTCTTTGAGATGTGGTGTTCACATCCATTCCACCACCCAGCGTCCTACCCCTCTGTCGGAGTCGCCGGCAAGAAGGAACTGGAGGGAGTCGGGCCAGCGGGGGTATATATGCGGGGCGCAGTGGCACCACTCGGGGGGCCTGCCAGCCTGATGGGAGCCGCTAAGGGGAAAAGTTTCCGACACTCGTGCACGTGGCACGCATATACCTCATGTGGAATGGATGTGAACAACACATCTTGAAGAACAACAGTTACGAGAAAGTAAGTAACTGATTTTTTTTGCACTGTCAGTGAGGTATACGCACTAATTTTTGGGGTGCAATTTAGGCACAACCTTTGAGAATTTGTGTATCATATGCAAAAGCAATGTGTAATGCATGAGAAATTGCTGTGACATTTAGCTTATTGTGTACTTGCAACATTCAGATTTCAAATGTAAATTTGGCCATTTTGGAATGTATTTATTGTGGGGTCCAAAATACTAAAGGGACATAATACATGTATGAAATGTTTATTTTTCAGCTTCCTCAGAGGAAGGGGGGAAAAAGCCGTCCACGTCCTCAATCCTCATTTTGCTGCCTCTGAATTGAAAAATGACTGAAACAAGTAGTCTATGAAATGTGATACTCATAATTCTTGCATGTAGGCTGGTTTCTAATTCATAAGAATCAAATTGGATATATTTAAAAAGCCTTCAAAAACAGATTCAACACGGGGGGGGGGAAAACAATCAGATGTTTTATTTTAGTCAGGTTGGTATTGATTGTGGTCCAGCAAAAAGCGATGAGGTGGCTGGTCTTGGGGTGGCTTATCATCAGATGCTAATTTCTGCAAACTTCTTGCTCTGGCGGAGTGTGATAAATGTGTAAAGCAAGTCCTCCCAGAACCATAAGGCTCTATCAGAAGAATAATAGACTGGAGCTGACAAGAGGCAGGCTTTTGAGGGGGGAGCAGAGAGATTTGAGTGGAATGAGTAATATTTAGACAAAACCCTGGCCGTGTGGATGATATTTGTTTAAATGTCCTCTTGAGGCAAGGGAATCAGCATGGATTAGCGTCTTCTGGAGAGAAAAGAGGTGAGAGGGGGTGTTCAGTGTCTCGGCAGCAGAGCTTTGGAACTGGCCTGCAAAGGCAACAAGAACTGAAGCACTTTGGAAAATGTAATCTGGGTTCACTGAAAATTTTAAATCATTGTCAAGGTGCAAATGTAGCGTGCTGTTCAGTGGTGCGGTGGTGGAGTAACGCTAGATAGTAGTTCATGTTGTGTTGTGTTTGTGTGTTTTTATTTTAGTGAGTTTGTGTCCTGATATAGATAATGTTAGAGTGTTATTCAGTGGATGTCTTATCTGGGACACCATGGTAAATGGAATTTGTGCCTTGTGGTTTCTGTCCCAGTTGTAGCAAATGCATTAATAAGAGGAAGAGATGCTGGAATTTAACAGAAAATCTTATGTCTATAATTGTCTCCCAGTGCTGTAGCAATGCTGCTTCCAAAAACAAATCTACAACAGTTATGCAGATGACATCTATAAATACCACAATACTGCAGTTCTGTCAGGGGCCTGATTTGCAAAGATGAGCATGCAGAATTGCAGACACTGTACCATGTGTCTAAAATTGCATACACAAACAGACATAGTTAGAAAAGATAAATATTTTCATATTCGTTAATCAAGGTACAATCACCGGGCATGATCTGACGTGGTGCTGAGCAGCCCCATTCCCCACTGAAGTTACTCTGAGTTCTTGCCACTTATCAGAACTAAGCCCAATGTTTATAACATAAATAAAAGATATGAAGAAACTTTGAGTTTCAGAGTGATGAAAAGCTGTGCAATTCTTCATGTGTCTACTAAATTACATTATAGCACATGCAATTTATTGCTTTAAAAAAATCATCCTCCATAATAAGGCAGAAACAGGCTAATTGTGGGGAAAAAAGATTTAAACCTTTTTAAAGTGCTTATAAAACTATATCACCTCTGAAAGTGCATTCAGTCTTTCACCAGTAGTTCCAACTATTATTACATATTTCATACTTTCAAGGTTCCCACTCATGCTGCCATCTTATCGATAAATAGCATAAGAGATTGGGGTTTTTTTTCTTGTCCCATTTTGCGGGCATGGTCTACTCTTGATGTGCACGTAGCTATGTAACTCATTAACACTAGTGAAGAACAGAGTATCGACTCCTTCTAGCAAGTTACCATTTTTATTGATATATCAAATAAGTAAAGGCATGTTGGGAAAAAGACAAACAAAATATAAATGTAAGGATTTTCAGCTTCCAATTTCATGAACCGCAAGACAAACAATATCTTTCTAATTCCCTAAATATGACATTACTGTAGAGAGAGTGATCTAAAAATCAAATGTATTTTGAAATAATTACTTGCACATTTGTAGATAAATTCTGCTATTGCCATTTCCTAACCATATCGGAGGGGTTTTTTAATGATTATTATTGGCAATAAAGAGTTACCAGTGGAATAGTTGTTTTCAACAGATAAAATTGCTGCTAGACTTCACACGGCTCTGGATAATCTCAAATTAATGAAGCAGGCAACATGCTTTTCTGAAATTGCACATGAACTGGCCTGATGCATTGATTCTCGTAAATCGTATTCTAAAAGAATCCTAATTAGAATAACAGAGCAAGAACACAAAGATCACTAAAGAAAAACATCTTTCTCTTGCTACATGGGGAAACTGACTCAATATAACTCCTGCACATCAAGAAGAGATTAGTCTTCAAAGAATTTTAAAGCTCCTGAGTTTAAAAAAGAAAAGAAAAGAAAATCTGCCTTTGGATATGTATGCAGCTCCAATTGAAATCAATGGTTTTCCACTCACTTCCAACACCAAAATTTGGGCTTATGTAGTGAAAATGTTTGTCGATGTATTAATACACAAGAAAAAGTAGACATGGTAGATAATATGATAACTTTGCATTGGTCAGTTTCTGTATACAGGATAAGGGGTTAAAAATTAGAGCAGGGCTAAACTTATCAGACCAACACTTTACTCGCTGAAAAATGCAGGTTTGGTCAACCCCAAATACTTTGCAAATTTGACATGAATTCACCTAATAGTTTCAAAACTTACATGCCATTCACAAAATGGCTGGAGGAGGAGGTGGTAGTGATGGTGATAGTGCCCTTTTTATAACTTTTAGCCCTGTGGTCGGGGAACTACTTGGAATGTGAGAGACCCAGGATCAATCGTCCTGAAGAAGAGATTTGAAGCTGGGTTTCCTTCATCCCAGATGAGTGCTTTGACCACTGGGCTAAAGTTACAAGGAGTGTACCACTACCTACTCCTCCCCCTTCCCATTTTGTGAATCTAACCCTTTAAAAATGATTGAAAAAGTCTGTTTGGGGTCAAACAAAACATGTTCCATTTGACCCTAAATAGATTTTTTCAATTCACCAAAATTGTTCGCAATTTTTGGATTCAGTTAGACCCAAACTGAAATTTTTATTTCTATTATTTTTCACAACTGCCAGAAAACTGAAAAAATCAGTTTATTCCCCCAGCTCTATAAAAAAATCTCTCTTTTCAGGCATAGAACAGACGTGCACAAGTCAATTATACAGCAGAGTACCAATTAAAGAAGGAATCACTTGGCCCAGAGAGAGTGTATGGTAGCTTTAATTGGCTGATAAAAGGTTAGAATGCACCCTTTCAGGCCTCAAATAGTCCTGTTTCTGCTCTGACAAGTAACTAAAAATGTTTCTTTTTGTGTTGCAAAGTTTTCCATATCAAGTTACAGTTACATGTGAGAAGGAAAGAAGTGAGTTTGACTGTCAGATCCATAACTGGGAATTAGCCAAGACCTAAATGTGTGGCAAAGACCCAAAATGAGAGAGACAAAAAGTGATTAGTGCAGGAAAGTAAGTGCTGTGAGATTAATTTCTTTGGTGTAAATAACTAAGTCTGTGACCTTAGCTTCATGATTGAAATAATTATTGTTAATAAAATTGAAGGGGACACCCAATTGGTATGGAACATAAGTAATTTTGAGACTGAGTGAGTAATGTCATTAAAAATGAGAGATATTTGAGAGGTCTGGTCAGGTCCCAGAGTGAGTTTGCAAGACTAACATTTAGAATAAAGATGAAATACAATAAACAGGGATTCCACTACTTGACTGGTTTAGAGTCACTTTTCAAAATAGAAATGTTAGTAAGGTACAGCTGTAACTTGTGTAAAAGCCTGTCCCATAGCTGACGAAAGGGACCGTTTTGACCTGGAACATTATGTGTTACATGTAATAAATGAGATCACATTATCTGATTTATTTTTTTTTAAAAGGTACAGTATGGCTGATCTCTCTGCAAGGATGCTAAAAGTGAATACCTTTCATCACAGTGGATTGGATACACTACCAGATACTATAAGTAGCTTATAAACAGGCTCTGATTCTGTAACCTTGTAGTAGTTCCAATTACTTCAATGACACTGCTTATATAAGGGCAGCAGGATCAGGCCTGAAAGGAAAATACAACATGCAACATTAAGATCCTATTTTTATATTTTATTAGGAAGCCACATAAGAAATCCTCACATATATTTAAGGCATTGCTACATATGTGCACATCCTGCTTTGCTTATAACTGTATATATAACTGTAAATCATGAAGATGTCTGTCCGACAGATTTTTTTACACCATTAACACACGCTTTCCACTAAACATGTCCCTTTGTCCTACTGATCAGCTCAGGGATTCCCATGTTTTACCTGTACATAATGTATCGATACAGGCTCAACTTGAGCAGGAGACGAGACTTCACCAAGAGGAGCAAGAAAAGTTTACAGAGAGGATCATTCAGGTAAATGCAAAACCCATCCACTAGTACAGACATTTGGCCAGAGCCTGCACAATGAAACATTTTTTGTCAAAAACAAGGGAATTATGTCTACATGTTACTACTATTCACTTCCAAAAGCGTCAACTTTAGTTATTTATTTTCACTCATCTGAGGAAATGAAGAATCTAGAAGCTGGTTGAAAGTAAATTGACCTAATTTCTGTATCTTTGTGCCCCTGGGTATCTTCTTGTTAGCGAAATCAGCCAAAAGAACCTGCATGAGCTGCTACATTTGTGATCACATAAGAAGTGGCTGCTGCTTCTTTACCCCTTCAGCTGTTCATGAGACAGTGGAACAGCACTTGCTTGAACTCCAGGAGCACAGTTGGATGTTGTAGGCCTGATTCTTGTCTCACTTAGTGTAAATCAGACGCTCCCTGAATTCAGTGGCGTTACAGCAGTGTACAGGAGATGAAAATCAGGACCTCTTTATTTCTCAATGCTTTCCTTCCCCGTCTTTTATTGCTCATGTTCAGTGTACATATCATGAAATTGGCTATATTTCCCCCACCTTTTTGAAGACTTGGATTCATAGATCTTGGCTGTTTTTAACCAAATCTCCATTTCAGTTCAATGGAACAAGGCTCTGTTAACCCAAGTTATATTCATTTACACATTCAAAAACTAAGCTTACAATAGTTTCCTTTTTAGTATATTGTTTCTGGCAACATTAAGTGGCAATGGACTAAAGTCTGCCTTCCGTATGCAACTCCATGTGCACGACTGGGAGTTGTACACACAACTTTTGGCCCATAATATCCATTTTTGTTTTAAACTACTTTTAAGGTCGATTATAAACCTGTAAATTGCATATTGGTGAGTAAATATTCCTGATTTAATCAGTAATTTATTTACAAGGGTTTACTGTTACTGAGAGTATTTATTAATAAGCCAGTTTTACTCCAAAATCCCTCTAACAGAAGAGGTGACGGATTGTATGTGCATTTTGGATAACTGATTTTGTTAGCTTATCTGCATAGGTGCTGTGTCTTTGCATTATGACAGGTCCAAAACTTTTAAAAGGGTTCATTACTTAGTAAAGTGCTTGTCATGGAATGGGAGGTCGCAAATAGGATTCTGAATGTTTTAGGGGTAATTAGATGCATATTTTATTTTATTTTACTTGTAATAGGAATTATTGGTCTGGTTTTCTGTCCCCTTTCCTGAAGATGAACCTTCCAAGTGTTCTCTATAGCTATGAGGTGTTTGTTGCAGGATATATTCTGTATGGTTTAAGGAATTGTAGTGGCTAGTTTACTATGGCTTTCATTTGTACTGGATTGGTAACCAACAAGAGAGGCAGTTATTTAATAGACTCATGATATGACAGGAAACAAAATAATATGAAATGGCATCTATAAACAATGGCTCTGCATTCCTTTTCTAAATGCCTTTCCCTCATTAGTAAGCATCCGCATTCAGTTAAAACAGAAATATATTGGCATTCATATAGGAGTATGTGACTGCTGAAAGGTAATTTATGTAACTCTTATGGTTGCCAGATCAATCCATTGCCTGTTTTTCACTTATACAGTAAGACGTTGCATTCAAGAATGACTTTTCTGGCCGATGTTTGGTGTCAAATAAATTATAATAGGGTTTAAATTGCAAACTGTGAGACTGTGAGCTATTCTTGGTGCTTATGGGGTTGGAACTCAGACTATTCTGAGTCTCAGTATGCTTGTATCTTCAAGCACAGTGTGCATCTATGCTTCAGCCTTGTGCAGAAACTGTAGGAGTTCACCATGAAGCAGCTCAAACAGCCCTTCAAGTATGAATCCTCAGTGCTAATGTAAAAAGGCCAAGACTTGTGTTTGATAGCTAATATAAAAGACAAGGGAGCTCTGTTTCTTGAGAGTGAGATGAAGATACATTCTTAACAAAAGGAGTGATTGTGCAGGGAGGGGAGGAAAATTGAAATTCTTGTGTGTTGTAGGGATTATTATACTCTCATTTTATAGGAGTAGGTAGAAATTCAGTCATCAAATGAGTTTTGAATGAAGCAGTTTTAGGGTCAGGTCCACGCAGGGAACATACTGAAAAGATGCAATGAAGATGAAGAGTGGAAGGAAAGTATGTTGGACATAAACGTGTTTTATGTAGCAGCATTGTTGTTGTGCATCTTTAAAGTGAATTAACTGTGTACATTCCCTCAGCAGGTTATTTGCATATGGTTAATTAACTGAGGGCTGTAAGCTGTGGTCTTTTGATTCTTCAAAAGTCAGGGCTCTTGCCAAATAAAGTAGCTAATATTGATTGAAATTAGAGGTTTCAGGTTGTCTCACCCATCAGCAGCACCCGATTGATATTGTGTGTATTGTTCCATTAAAGCTGGAGGAGGAGCATCTGCAGACCTTGCGGAGGAAAGATTTGGAGGTGCAGAGCTTGACTTTGCAGAATAAATTGGAGGAGAAGACCTGGAGTCAGGAGAAAAGTTTGATGCAGCAAGAACTCAGGCATTTCAAGCAGAATACCTTCCTGCTGTATGTGAAACTGAAGTGGCTGCTGAAACACTGGCAGCAAGGCAAGCAAATAGAAGAGGAAGGGGAGGACATACTGGAGGTAACAGGCCCGTCTTATTCAGTGGAGTGAAACTGCAAAGATGAGTGGAGTTTCTAGTTCTGTCATGAGCAAAAAAACAGATATCCCTGTTTTGCATGCAAACCTCAACTCAACCAATTATGGAGCCGCACCAGCCCTCCATAATCATGAGTTTAAAACGGACTGAAATGGAATTTGAAGTTAAAGTTACTGGCCTTTTAAAAATCATTTTGTAAAGAGGGATAACATCTGACATCTCTGAATTACTGCTCTCTCATCTTTAAAACAAACCCCCCAGCTAGCACAATTATATGGAGCAATAAGTGTATTAGTGGGCTAATGGATTAAAATCTGTTTGGATGGTTTGAGTGATGTTGCTTTTTTCACGTTTATGTACAGTGTACTCCTCAAAAAGCCCTCAGGAATACAGATGAAGAGGTGCTCTGTTTTCATACTGGCAGTAGAGTCACACAGCTTCTTGTGTGAATTCAGCAGTGATTCATCCATCAGTAAGCACCACTCTGAAAGAAGGCACCCAGAACCACCTATACACATTGGGAAATCTTGGCCTTATTAAATAAAATGACTGGGAGAAAGGCATTTTCGTAGTCTGCTGCTCTAAGTAAAATTCCTGGGGAGGGGAGAAGTATCCTTCAAGTTCATAATATTCCGAAACCACCTTCTAAGTAATTGTTTCATGTATTGCTAATATTTGTGTACCTCCTGTCCGTGGTGCCTTTTCTTTCAGCATTTGAATCATAGAGTATCAGGGTTGGAAGGGACCTCAGGAGGTCGTCTAATCCAGCCCCCCTGCTCCAAGCAGGACCAATCCCCAACTTTTGCCCCAGATACCTAAATGGCCCTCTCAAGGATTGAACTCACAACTCTGGGTTTAGCATGCCAACGCTCAAACCACTGAGCTATCCCTCACCAACTGATTCCTGGCCTACAGTTGCTGCAGGTGTTTGTGCTACCAAATTAGGCCGAATGAATAATCTTCAAGACAGGAGTGACCATTTATAGATGCTGCAATGCTCTTCTGCTTCTGTGTAAACTAAATCCACACCTGATAGCAAAACATCTTTTCTATGGCTTCAGTGATTTCAGTGTGTCGGGTTGTGTTCATGTTATGTTGTGTAATAACATTCTCACTGGCATACAGAATGTGACTTAATAAATTGCAACCCACAAGGAGATCCCTTTTCTCCAGCCTTCAGTAGATTTTTTTTTTTTTTTGGTCACTGCACAGTTAATACAGGAACAGTGTCTGTGGAGTTCATTCTCTTGCCATTTTAGATTGAGCACCTCGATGCCCTACCAGAATTTGGCATTCAGTCTGAACGAAAGGGAGATGACCCAGAACGAGATGAGGAGGAGGATGACGTTGTGTTTGCACTGACGGATTATTCCCAACATTCCACAGCGGAGAGCACTGACCATGGACCACAGCTGCAGACTGCAGAACTATTGCAGCATCAAAAGCAGGTATCACACCAGAAGGGAGTTACACATCATGCCTTGGGAATTAATGCTGTAGATTTTTTTAGTGGCATTCATTTTGTTTTGCTGATGTTCTATTTTATCTAAGTACCTAGAATTGTACACAACTTCAATCCTAGCTACACAGCAACTTTAATGGGTTTCATCCATTATATCTATATTTAATAGGGAGTCATGTGATTACTACTGTCCTCTTGACAGATGCTAGGAGTGAAAAATCCCATTTCCTCTTGTGGCTGCTTGCCCAGAAAAATGTATCAATATCTGATGGCTTGCAGAATTTACAGACTCATCTTTCCTGAGCATTTTATCATCTAGCCATTAGAAAGGAGGGGTGCTTTTTATTTCATTTAAATATTTTAAGAATCTGGCACATGTATTTAATGTCTTCCTTAAAAATGAAAGAAAAGTAATGCCAAAGTTCTGTTACATTATTGGATTAAATATTAAATTCTATTCTGTACAGGCTTTTATACTGTGGTCATCGGCAAACTATCTGAGCATCTTCCAGTAGTGTACTAAGCCATGTGACTACACAACTGTCACATGTAGTTTGTTCCCTCATCCTCTCCCCAAAGAAAGAAGTGGTGTGGAATGGAGTGTCTTGCTTTGGTAGGATGTGGTTTTTGTTTTGTTTATATGATCCGTTGCTATGTATTTGTTAGAGAAGGCAAGGTCAAAGAAATGAGCCTTGCCCTTGGAGTAGAAGGTGGGGAGATTTGTGATGGTCCTTGATTCTTGGGAAAGTTGATTCCACAGTTTTGGACCACTCTTGGAGAAAGTTCAAGCTTTACTCTTATCGGAGTGAGAGTTTTAGACTATCTTTTAGATACTCTGGGTCCAGGCCATGGAGAACTTTGAAGATAAGGACCAAATGTGCAGGACCTCATCTAATTTACCAGATAGCCCTGCCTTGTGCATTGTGCACCTTGTTAACCTGTGTACTGGATATGGATAATGGGTACTCCAACTCCAAAGGGGGTAGAGTTAAGGCTTTTAACATAATTCTTTGTGAGAAATTTCCTAGGAATTTTAAAAAGGAAGAGGCTAAAACAGAGACCTTCCATTATGTGGAACCACAGTAGAATGTTGTGTCTAGCAGAAGATGCATATTCAGTGAGCTAAATGCTACTGTAACCACGCTGCTGTGTGCTTTTCAGCCTATGGCTGGCGTAACAGACTCACCACAGCAGCGCCTCATGGTGGTTCGTTTGGGAATTAGCTCTTTCACATTCGCTAGTGGTGTCTCGTCCACCGTTACTCTCTGGTCTCCACCATCCTCACAGTCGGACCCTCATCACTCCCAGACCATGCCGTCCGCTTCTGGACACTGCCCTCTGGCTGTGCCTGCTCCACTGGCTCTCCCCCACTTCCAGGGGACCAGCAGCTTCTGGTTCTATCACTCGCCTCAATGGCTCACTGGAGTCCTCAGTCTAGCCCCTTCCTCCAAGGGCAAACTGCAGTCTAGCTTAGCCACCCTCATCACTGGGAAGTGGGGAGGGGCCCAGGCCTGCCCGCCCACTACTCTGGGCCCCGAACCAGGGACCTTCTAGCACAGGGGTGGGCAAACTTTTTGGCCCGAGGGCCACATCTGTATGAAAATTGTATGGCGGGCTGTGAATGCTCATAAAATTGGAGGTTGGGGTACGAGAGGGGGGTCAGCGCTCCAGCTGGGGGTGCGGACTCTGAGTTGGGGACAGAAATGAGGAGTTCAGGGTGCAGGAGGGGGCTCTGAGCTGGGGAGGGGATTGGGGTGTGAGGCAGGGGATTAGGGCTCTGGCAGGGGTTGCAGACTCTGGGGTGGGGCTAGGGATGAGGGGCTGGGGGTGTAGGAGGGTGCTCTGGGCTGAGACCGAGGGGTTCAGAGGGCAGGAAGGGGATCAGGGCTAGGGCATGAGGTTGAGGCACAGGAGGGGGTCAGGGCTGCAGGCTCTGGTCAGTGCTTACCTCAAGCAGCTCCTGCAAGCAGCAGCATGTCCCTCTCCGGCTCCTACTTGGAGGCGCGGCCAGGCAGCTCTGCACACTGCCCCATCTGTAGGCGCTGCTCCTGCAGCTCCCATTGGCTGTAGTCCCCGGCCAATGGGAGCTGCAGGGGCGGCGCTTTGGGTAGGAGCAGTGTGCAGAGCCCCCTGCCTGCCCTTATGTGTAGGAGCCATATGGGGTCATGCTGCTGCTTCCGGGAGCCAGACGGTGCCACGGCACACATGGAGCGGGGCAAACCCCCGAGCCTACTCCCCAGCAGGAGCTCAAGGGCTGGATTAAAATGTCTGATGGGCCGGATGCAGCCCCTGGGCCATAGTTTGCCCACCCCTGCTCTAGGAGCAGCCACTTACTGCCCTCCTCCAACTCTCCTCTACTGCCAGCTTCCCTGGGCCACTTCCCCCTATCCCCAGCACCTTCTCTGCCCCTTTGTGTCAGGGCCCCAGTCTCCCCCAGCCTTGCTCTGCTCTGCTCTGTCTTAGGTGCTTCTCTCTCTAAGAGCCGGTTCTTCTCCCTTTACCCTCCAGGGAGAGACTCTGCTCCTCTCTGGCCTGCAGCCTTCTTAGAGGGCCAAGCCTGGCCCTGATAGGCTGCTTTCAAGCCTCCACTTGATTGGCTCCCAATAAGCCCTTCCAGGATTGGCTGGGGCTCTGTACAGCCTCTCTGGCTTGCTTTAACCCCTTCCGTGCCAGAGTGGGGCAGGTGCCCCACTACACTACAGAATGAGGACTGGGGGAAACCACGGCGTAGAGGGAGTCTGCAAGAAAATGAATACTGTCTCAGGCTGTATTAACTTTGCACTGGAATCTCCACAGGGTTTGGGAATGGGTAGGTGTGTCTGCATTCCCTACTCTTCTCCCTCTAACTTCCTCTACCCTCCCCAGGTCCGCAGACTATCCAAGTTCTCCATGGAGTCTGGAGAGGAAGGGCCATGGTGCTGTGGGGGCATGCTTTCCATTCACGTTGAAGGGCATCGACTCTCAGAGAGGCCCCCGCTATGTGAGGATCTACAGGGCATGATCTGGTCCTACACTATTAGTACAGTATTTGTAATGGCTGTGTGATCTAATAGATCCACTATAGGAAACAGTTTGTTTCCATCCTGTAGTAAGACTAGGATTGTTTCTAGGAGGTATACAGGACTCTTGCACCTACTTCTTAGGTTCAAGGCTTAGACTGTTTTTGTGTGTGTATGTGTGTGTGTGCGCGCGCGCACAACACACACGAAACCACAAAAGTATGGTCTATAGAGAGCTGCATACTGTTCTTGCAATCTATGAACAACTGGGGTGCATTTTGCCTTTGCTTTTTGACCTTCAGTAACTGAAAACTCCATTCTCTAGCTACAATGTAGTGAAAGATACCCAGAGCCTTTGTCCAGTAGATGTTTTCATGTAAAATGCGCTACCAAGATTTTTTTCATTTGGTTAGTCTAGCACTCGCATGTCTGACTTGGGAAGGGTTTAGTATTAATCATCCTGTTGGAGGTCAGAAGCTGCCCTTTCTGGGAATGTAGCTCACCAGTCCCTTATGTATCACCATGGTCTCCTCCCGAGAATGAGGCTGAGACAGGGCACTGAAAAGATGCTTATAAACATATCATATAACTGCATTCATCTTGTAGACTAAATTAGTCTACAAATGAGTAAAATAAATATAAACCAGTACCATCTCAATAAGCCTCAGCCATATATTAGCTTTTCAAGTACAACCTTAGACAGCAATCTCAGCAATCAAGAATATATGAATAAAATATGTCCTCTCTGAAAGAATCATTGCTCTGAGATTAATGTCAATTAAATTGGCAACAGTGGTAAGTAGCATGCATATAATTCATTTTTGTAAGTGTTACGTGCTCTTCTAATTCAGCATTTCCAGCAATCTCACTTAAGGAAATGACTCATAGTAACAAATCATGTCTCAGTACCCCTGCTGATAGAAGCAGATATTTTTAATGAATACTGCATGGGGCTCCGGTGGATTTGTGAGGGCAAACAAGTCTTCTACCTTCTAACCAGGAAATATATATTGTGTGACTACTGCAAGAATAGTAAGTTTGCTAAATATTACTTATTTCAAGAGCTATCCTGCATTTCATTGTCTGTTATACTGCACTGCATATACCACACTCCTCAGTTTCCAAGCACTCTGTATTTGACAGATACATTAAGAGTTAAAATGGTCTACTGCTATTGGGCTTCCAGCTAAGCGGCAAGAAAGGGTCATATCACTCTCTAATACAAAAAAGAGAAACTTTGTTGCAGGTTAATTCTGATCCTGTAGCCAATTTAGATCTCTGTAAGAGCCATATTCTGCTCTCAGATACACTATTATATGTTTGGCTCAAAATGTCAATTTTGCTGCAAAAGTAGGGCACAACACTGCATGCCCTCTATACTTGGAACTCCCACTAAATTCCATGAGCTTGCAGGATCTGGCCCTGACTCTATACACACTACAGAATTTCCAATATTAACTTCAGTTTATAAATTATTCCAGATTTTAAAAATCCTTCATTAATACTGTGACAGGTTTGGGCCAGATGGCTATAGGAGAGTAATAGAAGGCAGATATATTAGCCCCAGACTAAGTAGGTCCCTTTTCCCTGGGTAAGGTAACAGGGAAGGTTCCAGAACAATCAGGAACCTTCTGGAAACAATTAAGACAGACAGGCTGATTAGAACACCTTCAGCCAATCAAGAAGCTGCTAGAATCAATTAAGGCAGGCTAATCAGGGCACCTGGGTTTTAAAAAGGAACTCACTTCAGTTTGTGGTGTGTGTGTGAGAAGCTGGGAGCAAGAGGCACTAGGAGCCGAGAGTGAGAACGCGGACTGTTGGAGGACTGAGGAGTACAAGCATTATCAGACACCAGGAGGAAGGTCCTATGGTGAGGATAAAGAAGGTGTTGGGAGGAGGCCATGGGGAAGTAGCCCAGGAAGTTGTAGCTGTTGCACAGCTGTTCCAGGAGGCACTCTAGACAGCGGCATTCCACAGGGCCCTGGGC